GTAAATAACATTTGACATTCCTTCACATGAGAAAGTCTGATGGGAGAGAATGCGTACTTAAATCGTAATGGCTAGTCGTTTTAAGTTTACAACAACACGTAATTGGCTGTAACACACGGAATGCACGGATCCATTTTCTCTGCCGCGTATCGCGAGGTTTAAAGCAGGATGTCGCTCTTAAGAAGATTCTAAAAGTACACGGACGAGGCAAGACGCTGGGGATTTTATCTCGTTGAGTCACTCTTTAAAGCGGCGCTCTCCGCTTTCCACCGTCCTCGTCGAAGACGATGATAATCGAGAGAGCCGTCGCGTTCCGTCACCAGCTGCGTGCTCCTTCGCGATCTTTCCCTGACGTTCGTGAGACGCCTCCGTCTATTATTGTAACGTCTGTCCCCAGCTCCCGTTAACATCCGCGTCGTCGCGACGACGTACACGGTCATTCGTGCGATATTCAGACGAAAAGAGCGAAGTAATTGCGGCTTTTATTAAACAATATGAATCTTGCGACAAGGTTCGTGCAATTACGCGCAAAATATAATAATCTGCTTCTACGCGAATGCAATAGCTGCGTTCCAGCAGAAAAAGCAACTTTTTGAAACTGTTGTAAAATTCTTTAAAATAATTGACCTTACCTTTAGTTCCCCACTGGACTTACATGTATAAAGCAATTATATTAAAGAATTTTACAACAGTTGCAAAATTGCGTTTTCTGATAAACGTAATCAATGTAAATTACATAGACTATAATATGTTTCACATGTCATTTATATGAACAATCTATAGATTATCGAAGTTTATATTCTTTATCGTTGCACTGAACTGCACTAAACTTCTGTTCTCGCTTATACGTTTTTATTTATTAATATTAAAGTCAAATATATTAACAATAATCATAAAATTTAATTACTTCTTTCTATATTGTATTATCCAATTTATAATACATATTTTACATTACTTGTGTATTGTCTACGTAAAAAGATTCGTGTAAATTTAATGTAAACAACACGTAAATATTCCATATAAACGTAATCTTGAAATATGTGGCATAATCCTGTTTGCAACCAATTCTCTGCCACGTACGGGAAATTAGAAGCTAATCTACAGCTATGTGCTCTTTGCCTCTTGTTTCTGACTCTTTACGTTTTTTTATTTTTATCTCTTATCTTGTTTTTTTGTCGCTTTAGACAAAAAACAAATTTTGAAAGAGACTAACACGTGACAAAAAAACACTTTTGATAAAAAGATCGCAAAGAGAGAAAAAGATAAGCTGTATAAAAGCAAAAAACGAGAAGCAAAAAGTGTATTGTAGATTGATCTTAAATAAAATGAGACAATCTTCATACCTGCGCGTACATATGCATTATTTACCTATATTTTTAAGAGATCACTTTTTTAAGGAATGACTTTTTAAGGAATACTTCAAAGATTAAGAGGATCGGAGATTAAACCTGCATTTATCTAAAATTTTTCTATTTAGAAGTTTCCTTGATGGAACAACTTTTTACAAACAAGATTTCTAGATGAAATTTAATTAACTTTCGAGAAGAGAGACCACGCAAGAGTCGGTATTTGGTGTAGTAGACAGGAAATGATGCTTACCTCTTATTTCTTGATGAGCTAGGCACGTACTTCGTTTGCGTGCGGCGCCTGGCGATGGATCGAATTCGTAAGACGAGACGGTCAACATACAGCGAGACATGCGATGAGTCACGTTGTCTTCATTAAGGTCGATGTCTGCGTCTTATCAAAAACAAACGGCTAAAATCAAATCCAATAATCTTTCCATACATATCGTACCAGAATCTGGTTAAACTTATGAGAGTTCTAGTTGAGATAACCGAAATTCTAGTTGACACAATATTTCTGATAAAATCTACTAGAATTTTTATTTTTACCAGAATAATTATATTAATCAGAATTTTATTTATCCAGAAAATTCTGATTCGTCCTTTTTGTACCAGAATTATTATTTAATCCGATCAGATCATTTGTCTTTGCATATATCAATTATAATAACATGGTGTCCATAGCAAAATCTGGTTAGTCAATTTAAGAATAATTCTAAGACATTCCATGTAAAAATCCTGGTTTTTCCAGGCTGTATCGATTAATTTTGATTATTTAATTAATTTGCATCGATTCGCACACTATTGTATGCTTTGTATTCTTTGTATGCTTGTATAAATTAGGACGCTTTGTGTGACGAATAAATTAAAACGCTAACAATATTATTTATTGCTTTATAAATAATATTAAACAATATTCCGTTACCATAAACGATTTTTCTGTTACGTTCTATTTTAGACATTAAATTAAAAAAAAATTTTCTGTTGATAACTTCTTACATCTTTAAGGGAAGACTTATATCCAAACACAATTTTTAAAATTATTTCTCTCTTTAATTATCTGATTTTTTTAAAAAGAATAAATTTCAGAGCAGCCCTTAAATTTCAGGAGTTTTCTAGGAATTTTCCATAATACATTAAATTTTAGTATAATTCTAGAATCTAAGGATATTCAAGAACTGCTGGATATCGTGAATATTCTGATATAATTTATTTTAAAACATTGTAAAAAAATATAATAATGTTATAGAAATATTAAAAGGATGAAAAG